GTTTACGGTTTCGGGGTTGCGGGCTTCTGGGTTTAGGGGTTTAGGGTTTCAGGGTTGGGGGCTGTTGGGTTCGTGGGTTTAGGGTTGCGGGCTTCTGGGGTGAGGGGTTTACGGTTTCGGGGTTGCGGGCTTCTGGGTTTAGGGGTTTAGGGTTTCAGGGTTGTGGGCTGTTGGGTTTGTGGTTTAGGGTTGCGGGCTTCTGGGGTGAAGGGTTTACGGTTTCGGGGTTGCGGGCTTTTGGGTTTAGGGGTTTACGGTTTCGGGGTTGCGGGCTTCTGGGTTTGTGGGTTTAGGGTTTCAGGGTTGGGGGCTTTTAGGTTTGTGGGTTTAGGGTTGCGGGCTTCTGGGTTTGGGGGTTTACGGTTTCGGGGTTGCAGGCTTCTGGGTTTAGGGTTTAGGGTTTCGGGGTTGCGGGCTTCTGGGCTTCCGGGTTGCGGGCTTCTGGGGTTGCGGGCTTCGGGGTTCAGGGGTTTGGGGTTTCTGGGGTGCGGGCTTCTCGGTTTGTCGGTTGAGAGGATATTTCGCCGAGTCAGATTTTTTTTTGAAAGACAGGACGTTGGATGCCTGCATGTGCAGCTGCTCCGTCCCGCCAGCATTTTGGCGCAGCCTCCCAGCTTCTAAGATTCTAGATGCCGCCTAGTTGTAGATGGGATGCCCCCAGGCTTGCGAGGTGGGTTTCTTTGAGGAAGGGAGACTGCGTGTCCTACGCCCACTGCTGGCCGCCCCAAGAGACAGGAAAAGGCAGTGTGCTCCAGTGACGCAGATTTTTCATGCCTTCATCGTTGCAAGAGCATCAAAGGAATGATGGAGCAGGCGACGGCGAGGACTACAGGTGCCCCTCAACCTTGACGCAAGTCCTGGGCTTGCGTCTGCAGGTTTTGTTGAGTTGATATCGAGCTTGTTGACAACAACTACGCTTCCACTTGCTTTCCGTGTGACTTTCTGTTCGGGTCAGCCTCGATTTTTCCTTTGCCGCGCATCACCACTTGGCCAACACAAGTTAACACCGGATGGTGCTCTTCTGGTGCTGGCAAACATGTGCGTGGCTGCTTTAAACCATTTGGAGCAAGGCGTGCCCAAGTCAGCCACGACCTGTTCCAGGACCACTTGCACGACGGCACAGCTCTCTGTCCAGTTGCACATTTGTGAGCGGGTTGTGCGGTTCTGCAGCCGCCTCAATGGCATGCTGGGTGAGAAGTTTGACTGCGGAGGGGCTGAACGGACAGCTACTGGCTCATCCCTTTGGTGGATCCTGGTTTGTGGCAAGAGGTATGCCGTGGTGGTGCTGTCTTTCCCGAAGGCGCTGGTGCTCACAACCGCTGCTGCTGACATGTCGTGAACTACGATGTGGCAAGCTACGCCTCAGGCAGCGGGCTTGCGGCTTAGCCAAGGTGTTTGCTGCGCCCAAAGGCACCAGAGACCATCAGCGAAAAAATTGGGACGGTTCCTTGGTCTCTACCTGGGCCATAGCACCTCCCAAGCCACACCGTCTTGCAAACCCGAGCTCGTTTCTGGATACTCGTGTTCAGCCTGGCGAGGTGCTTTACCTGTGCAAGAGGGATGCCTCAACTTTTTAGATGTTCTCGCCGTCCCGTCGGTGCCATGGCTAGGCCAAGAGCCCGTCACACTGCATCAAGACAACGAACTCTGCATGGCCCTTTCTTCGGACAGCTTTCTCCTTCCGGTCGACGGCGTATGGCCCACGGGTTTCAGCAGGAAGGTGTCCACAGCAGCCACGGAGCATGACCTCCCAGCCTCACAGCAAGAAGATTGCACAGTGGCCACCGACGACGCACTGTTCTTCCACCGCAATTCTCAGCAAGGCAAGCGAACTCTGCAGCGAGTGGACGAGACGCTTGAACGGCATGGCGTACCCCGGAACAGAGCCAAATTTCTTTGGCCAACAAGATGACAGGCCTCGGTTGCGACGTGTCTAGCAAACCAGCTCTTATCGAGCCCGCTAAGGACAAGATTTCATAATGTGCTGGAGCGAGGCACAAACGGCCCAGGTGGCATGAGCGCCATCTTGGGTGTCCTGCAACGGTTCTGCCTGTTGCAAAGGGGCATGTTCAGCATGCTCGACGAGGTGTATGGTTTCATCGTGCGAGCGCCCCGCACGGTCAGCAACCCGTGACTCACCTGGCTGGCGTTGGCGCCTCTACTACCGGCTAGCCTGCGTAGGTACTCTTAAACCAGAAGAGAAGTGGACCTGCTCAAAACAGACTCTTGGCGGGCAGCTCTAAGAGGTTGGAGATGGCCCACTCAGCAGCATGATGTCACGGATCTTCTGCATCACCTCGCTCGCGGACTTCTGTGCTTAGAGAACTGAATGGGCAACATGTCGGCGCGAGAGGGTGGTGCCCTAGAACTTTTCGGGCAGTGGTGCCCTCGAGCTGCTTGACAGGTCACCGACCCGACCACACATCACGATCAACGTACGGGGTGTAGAACTGTGGCATCGTGGAGACAGCCCTAACATGCTCACCAGTCCGCCAGCCCAGCTGCTACAGTAATGAGCTTAGCGCGGTTCATGTTTCATCGAGGGCAGATTCGCAGACTAAGAAGTCGTGTGCAACCCAATCACATCATCACTCTACCGACGCTCGGAGATGTCTTTCAATCGGCCCCTCGTACATAGTGTACATAGGGACGCGCAGACCAGAGCAAGATACCAACTCGCCAAAGGTATCATTCACATCGGAGACTTGGCACACAGCGGCCATTATCGCGCCTTCACTGCCAGGAATGCTGCAAACGAAGCTGCAGCCGAGCTGACTTCACAACAAGCTGATGCGCGATGACAATACAGCTGTCTCACACAAATTTTGAACAATGTGTGTGTTCTCACCTACCGTAGAATCAACTGGCTCTTCGGAGCCTCTAGTTCACCTTTGACATGCGAGAGTCTAGACACCATGTCACCTCCGGCGGGGCCACATGTGTCCGAACGAGTCCTAAGGTGCAGCGGTTGAATGACTGAAATGGATGCGTCTTCCAGGGGCCGCGCGCCAAATCCTGAACACAAGGCATGATTTGCATGCTGATCTGGCGCATGCTAAAGGTCACTGACGCGCGCTGCTGCGTTACCGGGCTCTGTGCAAGCGGAAAATTCTTGTCTGTGTGTTCCGTGTTTGACAAGCTTTGGACGGAGCATGGAGCTGTAGTGTTGTAGTACCGAGCCTGCGATCTGCGTCCATGCGCAGCCTTGATTTCTGTCAGGATCGGTCAATCTATCTGTAGAGCTGATTGAGGGCGCAACGTTTTGTTTCTGCCATCGGCCGCTCATGAGATTCACGTCCTGTGCGGGGTAGTGGGTCTGTTGAAAATCCTCAAGCTGAAGGCTTGGGGTGCTCACTTCTTCGAACGAATCTGAAACCAGCAGTGGCCCGAACAACAAGCCTGTCTCTGAAATGTCCATACGTCGGCAAGTGCAGGCAAGCTGGACGCGGGCAATTAGGGTTCTGGGGTGCAGGCTTCTGGGTTTAGTGGTTTAGGGTTTCTGGGTTCCGGGGTTCTGGGTTTAGAGAGTTTCTGGTTTCAGGGTTTGTGGATGTTTCTGGGTTTGGGGGTTTGGGGGTTTTGGGTTTCTGGGTTCAGGGTCTCTGCGGTCAGAGTTTTTGGGCTTCTGGGTTTAGGGTTGATGGTTTCATGCATTTCGGGTTCAAGTCTTCTGGCTTTTGAGTTTCTGTTTTCGAGGTTTCTGGATGTTAGGGGTTTCGGCATTCACACTCGGACACTCCTCATTCAGCCGACTCAAGACCACACCTTAGGGGTTTAGGATTTTGGGCTTAGGGTTTCTGGGGTTCAGGGTTCTGGATATTTGGTGCGAGGTCGCATGAGCGAAATTCGCTTTCCTCAGTCTGGGTCGCCAGGATGGGCATGCAAACGATCAGCAGCCATAACTAACGAAATCAAACATGGAATCTGGTGGTGCACCTTTGCTCCGACTGCCAACATCCTAGAATCCACAGAGTATGCAACACAGCCATTTTAGTTCCCAGCCTTTGTGTCCGATGGTGTCCGTTTGGGGGCTTACACTCTCATCGTATGGGGTTACACACCCCTCAAATCAGTCAGTGTGTAACCTGCACAGGCAGTGCACAGGGTCATGGTACAACTACATCGACAAAACAACATCGACACCCACAACGACGACCACCACCCCACCACCGCCGCCACCACCACCGCTACCGCCACCACCACCGCTACCGCCACCGCCACCGCTACCGCTACCACTACCACGATAATTTCTGATATCTTGATCTTGTCAGTTCGTCGTCTCCATTGTGACTTCCACTACCGCGACCACGACCACATTCAAAACCATGCTCACGACCACGACCACCATCACCACCACTAGCTAGCACTGCTGCTGCTACTACTACTACTACTACTACTACTACTTCTAGTACTAGTGCTACTATTGCTACTAATACCATGACGACGACGACTACTATTATTACTACTACTACTACTACTACTACTGCTACACCACTTCTATTGCTACTTCTGCTACTACGCTTACTACGGCTACTGCTACTACTACTATTGCTACCACCACTACTAATACTACTACTGCTACTACTACTACTACTACTACTACTACTACTAGTACTACTACTACTACTACTACTACTACTACCACGACCACGACCACTAC